TGAGGCAGTATCCCTACGGAAGTAGGATTGCCCAACCTTCCTTCCGAGGAGTGGCTGGTGGGTTTGAACCGCCAGCCTTCTGGTTAGCAGTCAAGATCACCAGGTCTTTTTTCCAAGGTGCCACTAGGTGGAATCAAGCCTCCAACCTTTCAGTTAACAGTTAAGTTCCTTAACCTTCTGCATCATGAGGGACTCCTGACTTGCATATATGTTGTGTGCTGTCTAGTTGAATCCAACTCAAAGCAATGAGACCTGGATATAGTAGGGCCTTATTAAATATTTGCTCTTTTTTTCATTTAATGGCCCATTATTAGGTCATTGTGGTAAGCACTGGTAATATAAAAAAATTTAAAAAACTGCTGTTGAGTCACATCCGACTCATAGCAACCCTTCCTTGGGTTTCCAAGGCAGTATAACTAGGGAAGTAGCTTGTCCAATCATCCTTCTGAGGAGTGGTTAGCAGCCAAATGCCTTACAGTAATAATGCAACAAGTGTCTGTTGAAGAAAAATGGCTGAATTTCAGTAAAACAGTGAGCTTTGTGATAGTTTATCTTGCCCTAGTCCCATCACCCTTTATGCAGCTAGAGAGTAAACTTGAAAGCCAACAACTTTGCAGTCATGGTAGTCATGAAATACATCAACCTAACAGCCACTGGAGGAAGTAAAATGGGATTGGAGTTCCTCAAAAGCACCATCCACAGAGAATCATCATTATGTGACCTGTCTGGCATTTCTCTGTAAACCTCTAACTCCAACGTTTGTCTTTATCTCGTCTAACTCATTCCTTTTACTCTGAACAGCTTTTTTTGCACCATTTGTCAGAAAGAATCAGCAGCAATTATTACTGAACATTGCAGCTACCTGGGGCAGTGATAATAGCTATACAAATAAGAAGCTGAGCAAAACACTTAAAAGAAAAAGCTGAGGAATAAGATGTGCATAGGGTACTTTGACAAGCTCTAACATATACCTGAGAACCTAGAAGACCACACACACATGTGGAACTGTGCATGGGCTCAAGAAACACCTGAAAAAGTTCTACTCTCTCACCTGTGACTGGCCTGAGGCACTGAAAGCAGAAAGTGAACATGAAGACAAAGGTGAAAACTGCCAGTTAGAGATCTGAAAGGATGTCCCAG